AATGCTGCTGCAAGGCTGTTGACCAGGGCAAAGAAAACTGATCATGTTACACCAATTTTGGCCTCAATACATTGGCTCCCTGTCCATTTTAGAATTCAATTTAAAATTATGCTGTTTGTTTAGCTCTTAATGGTCAAGCCCCATCTTATCTCACAGATCTTCTTACTCCTCTTTTATCCTCCAGATATTTAAGATCTTCTGATAGTGCTTTTTTATTTGTCCCTCGTTCACGTTTAAAAACAAAGAGTGATAGGGCTTTTTCAGTTGCCGCCCCTCGTCTTTGGAATCAACTGCCACTGGACATCCGCCTTGCACCTTCTATTGTAACTTTTAAATCAATGTTGAAAACATATTTTTACTCCCAGGCATTCTAATTGATTTTACCTGTTTTATGGTTTGTCTTGCTTGTCTTATGTTTTACTTTGTTTCTGTTTAGCACTTTGGCCAGCTTTGCTGAGATAAATGTGCTATACAAATAAACTTTACTTACTTAATCCGTATTACATCTGTTTTTGATTGTTACATCTGTTGTTCCCGAGGCTTTCTGTGTCATGAATGTTAATCAAACAACAAAACACAAAGAAAAATCACTTTTGTAGCTTTAACAGACAAAACACAAAAATCACTTTTGTAGCTTTAACAGATTTATTAGATTTCATTTATACAGTGAAGACTATGCAGTGATATTTTACATTTGATTATTCAATTTCTGTACCTGAATACAGTTAAGACTTACCTGAAGAATATAAAGCACTGTTTATTTCATTTGTATAATTTTTTTCTATTATATTTATCTATGCTTGTAATTTGCTTATTTTCTCTGCTGATTTATTCACCTACAAAATCACCCCAATCATTGTTTTTTTTTTGTTTTTTTTTTCAAATAGAGCGGTTCAAGTCATCTGGTACTTTTTTTTTTTATATCGCAATATGCAAAATTGCAATGTGAGTTTTTTCCAATATCGTGCAGCTCTACTAGTAAGTTTAGTAAAACTAATAGGCTCAATAGCTTCTGCAGCATGAACACAAACATGTAGTCCGCCATTGTTGTTGTTACATGAGGTAGCGGTGTCTGACTGGGGTAAAGACGTGGGGTGATGACATTATTGTTTCACAAAATATACGGATTGGCTATACACACGCAAATGTGTCATTTTCAGATTTATCCACTCTGGGACCCGGTTAAAAAAAATTGCAGTTTGAGGCTCCCAAAACGCCGGATCCATCTGGACGAAAGGCTGATACGATACAAAATATTTACATATACAGCTAAATGCGTCTCTGTGTGTACGGGGCCTTACTGTGATTGTTTTTTGTATGACTGTGTATAACAGATGACTGAATGAAACGCTTCCCACATGCAATGCAGTGATATGGTTACTCTCCAGTGTGGACCCTCTCATGTGTTTTCAGATTTGCTGACTGACTGAATCTCTTATTGCAGTGTGAACACTTATAAGGTTTATCTCCAGTGTGGACCCTCTCATGTGTTTTCAGATTTGCTGACTGACTGAATCTCTTATTGCAGTGTGAACACTTATAAGGTTTATCTCCAGTATGGATCCTCTCGTGTGTTTTCAGAGTTGCTGAATCACGGAATCTCTTGTCACAGTGTGAACACTTATAAGGTTTCTCTCCAGTGTGGATCCTCTCATGTGGTTTCAGATACGTTGAATGACTAAATCTCTTGTCACAGTGTAAACACTTATAAGGTTTCTCTCCAGTGTGGATCCTCTCATGTGTTTTCTGATTTGATGAATTAATGAATCTCTTGTCACAGTGTAAACACTTATAAGGTTTTTCTCCAGTGTGAATCCTCTCATGTGTTTTCAACTGTTTAGCTGAAGTAAAGGTCTTTTCACACTCAAAGCACATGTACTCTCTCACACCAGTATGTATTTTCTGATGTTCTTTCAAACTGTCTAGACGCGAAAAACTCTTACCACACAAATGACATGAATGTGGCTTCTCCTTTGCATGAACTTTCAAGTGTTTCTTCAGAAGTGAAGCCAATAAAAACATTTTACCGCATTGATCACATGCGTGTGGTTTCTCTCCAGTGTGGATGTTCATGTGGCTCTTAAGGTTTGATGATTGTGTGAAACTCTTCCCGCACTGATCACAAGTGAACGGTTTCTCTCCAGTATGAACTCTCATGTGACACTCAAAACTTGCTTTGTGTGTGCATCTCTTTCCACACTGAGTGCAGGTGAAAGATTTCTTGGCTCTTCTTTTCTTTAAATCTTTCTGTTTGGTTTGAGAGCAACTCAAAAGTTTTCCTCCAGTTTTGACATGATTTTTCTCCTCAACTTCACTTGATTCTTCATTCTCCTCTTTTTCTTTAATGAACGCTGAAATAAAAGTAAAAATGGTTTATTTTTGGTAACTTGTTAAAAGTTGGTACTGCAGTGGTAATGCCACCGTCACAGCCCTAGTAACAATTTTATATTTAAATATTTTATATATATATGCAGTATATATATATATATATATATATATATATA